TTCGCAGAGCAAAGAAAGTTAGAAATTAAATAAGTGGAAAGAATGTGGTGCGTTTATGACGTTAAGATTTCTAATGTATGTAGAAAAAGCTGCATTTACTAACAGGACGGCGTTAAACCCTCGTGGATTTCCCAGTACTGAAATGAAACCACGCATACAGAAGAACGTTTCATAGCTCTTCATGTACAATCACAACAGAAGTCCAGCGAGGAGACCGAATCGCTCACCTAGACTTTAAAAAACCCTCCCCGTGTGCAGGTTGATCGTAAACGCCACCAGGCTGGAGGGTTTGCTTCCAACTGGGATCACCCGAGCTGAAAATGTGTGCACACATGGCGCACTAACAAGCTTTTCGGGGAGGGGGGGGGGCGCAGTGACCACATGGCATCCGTGACGTGTCAGTCTCTACAGCTATGCATGTGTAGTTTAGGTGGAATATCTCACACACGAGGCTTTAAATGATTCGTAATAAACAAAAAGTATGTACAACCTGAAAGTACGGTCAGTCGCAAACATGTTTTTTGCTTGTATATTAATTCAGTTTAATTTATGCAGTTGCGGATATAGAATAGTCTTTGTTGATATTGTTAGTATCCCATTCCAGTGGTGGCCGCGATCGTTTTCTTATCAATAGAAAGGTTTTGTTTTATTCTATATTTGTTGATGTTTAGCCTTTCAATAAATACAGAAATGTTTTCCCACTGCAGACAAACAAGCCAAAGGTTGCCGTCTGTGTTGAAGAGGCAGACTAACGGCACTAGAAACTTAAGGGGGCGTGGCTTAGTGAGCTATCAATTGCATGGCACTTCATATGATTACTTCCCAAACTTACTTAAGAAGGCAATTCATGCAAGATGTAAATAGCTTGAAATCCCCACACATTTTTGTAAATACGTTGCCATGGCAGCGGCGGTGCGCGCATACATTGCATGGGGATTGTCAACAACCTTTATTCATGTTCACAAATACACAACTCTGTTTCTGTTGTTTATTGTGGGGGTTTTTTGTCTAGCAAATAGAGTCCACATCTGCATTTTGTTGCGTTGCATGACAATAAATTACCCTAGAAATGTGCCAAATTGACTTCCTTACTGCAGGCCGTGCAAAGTGCGGCGCCGCACCTCAAATCAAGCGAGCTTTTCCTATAATCAACGCTGAAAGCATCGGCCCTCCTTTCAATCAACGTCTCTATTGAGATGTGAGATGAATAAATGCATAAAATCAACAATTTATTGTCATTTACAGCACAGCAGAGTGTTAGTCGCTCAGCTTGCCATCTCGTCGTTTGTGTGAGCCCTGAGGGGGTTTTTGTTATCTCGCCCGCACAGATTATTGATTGCAACCCTTTTTCCGTGTTACTTTATCTGTCAGTGTGTTTTTCTTACAATCACTTTGCTTCCATTTTTCTAAAGTATACAAATGGAAACGTTTGAGTTGGAGCAGTCAGAGCTTCCATTTGGATCGGCCTCTCGGCCTAATTGACTGAAAGAGCAGGTGGTCCAAATGGTTTGTGGCTTTCACACAAAACAGGAAATTGAGGCTGACTGCACTCCACTCTCTTCATCAGAGACGCAACAATTAACCAACTGTAACTATTTACAAAATGGTTAAACAACGGGAGGGATTGCGCTTATCCTCTCAAATATGGAGATTTTCCATTTCTCTGTTTATATTATTTATATTTATTGAACCCGCATGGGGGATTATCAAGTAGCAGCTCAAGTACTGAGAGACAGATTAAGACAATAAATCAAATACACGTAATACATTGATATTAAATTAAAAATATATTTAATATTTTTATTTTGTATTAAATATATATATATATATATATATATTTATTTGATTTTAACGATGCACATTGTACAGACATTCTAATGATACATTTGCCTTAAATTTAATGATGCAATCATTTATGCATCATTAAATTTAATATAATTGGACCTTGGAGTGAAAAATCACCTTTGTTTTTTTTTCAGAAACTGGGCATAAATAATAAATAAAAGAAATACTCAGGCGATGTTTTAACAATGGAGATAATCATTTTCTTAATGTGAGACGATTGGTATCTCAGATCCTTCATGAGATGAACGGAGCGACATCTAGTAATCTGGGAGAAATGGGAACAACTGGAAGTATTTTGAGCACAATGCAGGCTGACTGCTTTGGAAGTCAAGATATATACAGTAACCAGCCGGAAATTGAACTTGCATAAAACAGCGTCTGCATCAATGTAGTCCATTTATTCTGCCTCCAGTTATTTTCCCATCTCTGCTTTTAAAGGTCATGAACAGATACTGAGTGACATTGGTTGGACATAATAAAACCCAACCTATAACGAAAGTCTTACAGGTGCTAAGTGACCTTTGAACCCCGCTAGCAGGTCTTCAATGCAAAATATCTTTACACTGTCGCTAAATTGAGATTTCACTTTTCTTAAATACACGTGGCGCTCAGGTGTCCATCGCTCCTCTGGAAAATGGTGTTTAGTAGTCAGAGAATGTATCAATAGTAACAGGCTGCGAAAGCGCTGTAACTACGGTAACAAGGCCTCCTCCGTTACCTGGACAGGGGAGGGTGCAGGCCTCCTTCAGGCTGATCCGCTTGTCCCCGTCGACGGCCGGCTCCAGGCCGCCGCACAGCTCCTCGTCCACCGAGCTGCCGACCGCGTCGCCGGAGCCGTCCGACACAAAGCAGGACAGGTTTCTGTAGCGCTCGCCGTCTCCACACACCACGCTCTGAGGAGGAAGGCGAAAGAGGGCGATGGGCGAGTTACGACGGGGGAGTTAGACGAGGCTGCAGCCTAACGTTGCATAATACAACGTTTGGACCACTATTCATAATGTCCGAATCAGCCGAGCGGAGGATAAATAATGAGTTCGAAGCACTTTTCAGTTCTTTAAAGCTGCGAACGGTGGCTAAGCGGCAAAGTCAGCCGCGATATGTAATGAAGCTTAAAAGAAACCGCTTATTACCTTTCATTTTAATTTAAACTTGTACACAATCAAAGACACTTGATCAGATTAAAGCTGAAGTTACCCGCTCCTGTCGCGGCTCGAACCAAAAGAAAGACTCTGGACACGAATCCCTTGTGAAGGTATCACACGGGTTTGTGTCCACTGGACTGACCGCTGCTTCGCATTAACAATTCTCTATTGATCACCGCACGCTCCGAAATGAGTCAGTTATTTAAAGCGCGTGACACGTCCCTCTGTGGGCCCGTTAAACTACACTCGTACTCGCAGAGTGTTGTTTTATGTCATAAAGAGGAGCGGCAGGCTGCTTTAATAATCTGACCCGCTGGCCCACAATTCAAAGCAAAGTGTGAAGGCCGCCGGACTTCTACCGGTTTACATCGATGCATCAGTGTTAAAAGTGCATTCCATTGATTTTTACTGTCCGTCTCACAAAATAACGGCGTGCGTGGGGATTCGATGGGGCGTCCCATCAATACTAAAGACTCCATTATTTTTCTCCAGGTGCCGAGATTTCCGTCTCGCAAAGTCCACTTCTGGCTCCAGCTCGTGCGCGTATCGATCTCTTAAGATAGCTGACGGGGGTCGATGCCGTCGTCAATATTTAAAGCGAGCCGGGAGACGGTACGGCGGTATGACTTATTGACGTACCTCCACCCGGCACTCGGACCACTCGCCGTACTGCCAGCGGTAGCAGGGTCGGACGGGGCAGGGCTTCCACTGCTCCGTCTGAGAGGGGCAGGGCCGCCCGTCGCCCTGGAAGGCCCGGACCACGGAGCGCCGCCGCCACATCTTGCCTGCGGGGAGACACACAGGAAGTGACATCATCGGGGCCTCGTCATTTGAGGTTTGTGCATGTTCCTCTTCAGCGTCGCGCGCGGACAATAGAGTCACGCGGAGGTTCCCTCGAAACCCTTATTTTCCGTTTTTCGGAGTATTGCAAACATTTGGTATGCGGCGAATACATTTTCTTGCAGAATTGATGAGGCGTGAATACAATCACCAGACGTACTGCAGCTAACGGGCTTCTTATGATGCTTTTTTAAGACTTGGTGGGGTATTGACGTATTTTATAAAGTGAAGCAAAAAAGGTTAAAAATCCCATTGTGTTATTTCAGCCATCCATCAAAAAATAATTTAATTAACTGACTCAAAGAAAACAAATGGGTTTCATGGCTCATTCCTGCAGCTCTCTAAAAGGAAACAGACCTCTACTGTACGGACGGCTCAACTTTTAGGACTCAGATGGACAGTATTAGGTACCTTGCATGATGGCAGATGAATGTTGTGATGTGATTTTTACAATTTCACTGACAGTAAAGTTTTCCACACAATGAACTACGTCCTGCCTCTTGGAAATGTAGCTGCACACGACAATCATCCCATTCTCTCCGTAAACAGCTCATTTCCTGTATTCACAAAGCAGCGCGCTTGAATTAACGGAGCGGGTTTCCCTAAAAAGGCCGTACCGCACTTTTCCTCCGGCGTCATGACAGGTGTCCGGATCAGCTCGAGTAAAACGTCTTTTCTTCCTCATCAATCAGCAGACTCTCTGTGAAGCAGCCGTGAGCATCGCAGCACCAAAGACCTCTCGAGGCCGTTTGATTTAAGTGCAGAATTCAAGCTAGGAATTACTTGAGAAAACTCAACACAGCGACCCTGCGCACACACACACACACACTCACTCACACACGCGTCTTATTTAAAATGCAACCTTCCTGTCAAACCGCCCACTCCCAGACCTCAGAGCCCTTTGTGTGTCGTATATCCCACTCACGTTTTCCACCCTGCCGAGGCAGCAATCCGCTCACCTCACAATTCACCTCCACTGCCTCTCGACACATAAGACACACATCAGCCTTCCCACACATTCACACAAACTGTACCTGCTCGTATGCTGTTCCAACCAGAGCACATCCCACACACCTACTCGCACACAGAAAAATCACATCAAAGAGGGTCCCCTCCTGCTCCTTCAGCCGTGCTGAAACTTTTATCTTATTCCTTAAGATTTAGCAACTAGCGCTGCGGCGGCTCTTCTTCAAAGAGCTCCGCGCGGCCCCGAGGAGCAGGAAGATTTGGCCCAATCTATTGTGCAAACCTCGGCGAACAACAGCAGGACACACTATCGCCGGTCATTTGGGAAGACTCTCAAAGAAACACTTCCTCTCTTCTGCTTGCGCGAGTTTTCTTTCTGGCCAGATGCCTCCTAGCGCGAGCAGGAAGTGACCGATATGCAAACTTTAAAAAAAAATATCCAAGAAGCTATGCTGTGCTGAGCATACGCAGAGCACAGCACTTTGGTGTGGAATCAACAACATGCACAATAAAGAGGTTAATGCCATCGGGCTCCACAAACACTCCTGGGACCAATATACTGCGTGTGGAAATGAATTTAAAAGCTTCATGATTTCATACGTGCGTGCATTTACAACGGGGGGCTCACAAGCACCAACGTTGTCTTCACCATGGAGTCGACTGATTATTTTCACCCTGCCATTGGTCCCACGCTCCCCCACGGACCTGCAGGTGTCAGCGAACAGGCCAATAAACGGAGGCAGGAGGGACCAGGATGGTCAATGATGAATGAGTACCTGCCGAGGCCCTTTGGAATCTGCTGTAGGTTGTATCAGCTAGTTCTGACGACACCTTTTTTTTAACACGGTGGGTTGTATTAAAAATAAAGTTTGCAAAAAAGCAATGACTGAACCAAATGCAGATCAGTGGTTTAAGAAGCTCCATTTGAGCTGAGTCACTGGCGGAATTTGTAAATTGTGTTTGGCCATTTACCATCATTCCTCAGCTATTAAGGCTTGAATAAAGTAGCTACACATCAAATACATTTTGTTATTTCTCCCCGAGGTCGTTTGTGTCTTTATTGGCTCTGGCTTTAGCCTGGAGCTCGAGCCCATCTTCCTTACCGTCTAGTCCGCACGTCTGAGAGCAGTCCGACCACGGCGACCACTCCGACATCTGACAGTTGACGGGACACTCGACCACGCAGGAGATGTTCATCTGCCACTTCTTCTCCAAATTCAGCTGCAGCACATTGCAGGAAGTGTAGAGGTCAATACATGACGCGACGCGGCCAACTCAATCTGTAGCGGTCAGACAGTAGCTTGACCTCTCGCCACTTCAATTCCCAGAAGCTTTTGTTCTGGCGGCGCTGTGAAAGCCGCCCTGACACAATGTGTTTTCGTGAATGAGCCAGATGATGAAGCGGGCCGCGGGTTAAATAGCTGCGGGGACGGCGCCGCCGCAGCCCGCCGGCTGCAATTACGGGGAGCCGAGACTCATTGTGGATGAATAAAACGCTGAGGACGGTGCAGAAAACCATCTGTGTGTGGGAATACCTCTGCATGTCTCATGTTGCTGTCGGCCTAATAGTACAGGAAGGATCTGCTAATATGTCGCAGTGAGTGGTGTGATTAAGTCATCGAGTTAAATGAGCGTCAAATAAGGAAAGGCAAACCAAACGGGTACAAGAAGTACAAAAATGAATGAAAAAAAAGGGCGAAACTTGAGTCTCACCTCATAGCAGAATTTGAGATCGACCGATTTGCCGTCGCTGCGGACGCAGTCGAGCATCCGGGTCTTGATGCCGCTCCCACACACGGCGTTGGGACTCAGCTGACACGTGCTCCAGTCTGAAACACAACATATTACCGTTCATATCGCTGGCTGCTCATTGAGGCGGCGCTGAAAGTGGGTCAGAGTTACTCGGTGAACCTCGAGGTGCCCGGCTGCAAAAAAAAACAAAACAAAAGACAACAAATCCTAACAGGCGGACTGAGAGCAGAGCACACAGACTCCAGCACACATCACTGATATATTCACCAGGTGGCTGCTGGGTGCAAGCAGAGGAAGAGGAAGGCGAGAGATGGAGTCGTGAGCAAGAAGCATTGATTCATGCATCGAGGAAGCAGCATCTCACAGGCGATCTGCTCCTGAGGTCGAATGCTTTTGTTCTCCCCTCTAGTTGAAGCAGGAGAATGTGACGGGACAAAACACAAGGAGACGCCGTTCAAAAGTGTTCAAATGCGATCTCTTTCCACCTTGTGTCGCCACTGTTAACCCGGAAATTGTTTAACTCAAGGTTTGTCTTCTTAAATGCACCGAGGGATTCATAAGAAAACATGAACTCATGTGTATTGACACAGCAATATCAAATGAAATGCCGGCCATGTTGCTGACATAAAGTGAAAGTTTCATGCCCCGCCTTCCACTGGGGATAGATCTTTAAGGGTGGGCGTGCCGTGCATACATATTAACCACTCAGGGGTCCCAGATGACTCAGCAGAATGTGCATCCCATACAGTAAGTTGGACTTCAGTTCATTGCCTTTGTTGCATCACACAATGCTTCTTCCTTCTCTTCAGTCACAAGACTCATGCGACACCCTTCAAATAATCAGTGTGTGTGACAATCAGACCCCTCCAAATCAATAATTTCCAAGTGACAGCTTTCCACCTAATACACGTCCTGCCTCGGACCAGACAAACGAAGGATATCTGTGAAGTGGAACGGCAACGTGCTGATCACGACTTTGTATGCAGGCGCACGCTGTTGTTGCAACAACAGGGCGGCTGAGTTATCGCTCATAAAGGGACAAAGATGCCGTT